CGTGTTTCCTTACACTGGTTGTCTATGCTCCCCATCAGTAAAATGGGTACCTGGGTGTTAGTCGACTGGTGTGGGTCGCATCCTGGGACAGAACGGACATAATTTGCTCAAAATGCTCTGCATAACAAGCGGCTTTCTATATAGTAGTATGTCATTGATGTCAGCTACGACTGTATACCTTGTGTATGTACTTGTAGAAACAAAGAAATTATTAAATTATTATTAAATGCATCTCAAAAATTTTAACTTGTTCTACTTGTACACAACATAACTTTTGTCATCTCCCACCCAAATCTGAATTCTCTCAGAAACGCTGTTAACCCTTAACCTGTAAATGGTCCAAGCAGATCTACGTTCACATGTGTAGTGCTACAAAAGTAGATCTACGTTTTGTTTGCATATTTTCAAATACAGTGGTCCCCCGCTTTTCGTAGTTCCCGGCAATCGTAAATTTCGCCAATCATAGGGGTATTTTCGTATAAACATGGACTTGCTTTTCATAGGTTGACTCGCGAGTCGTAGTTCGTCCGGGACGCGTACCCATGGCGTGAGCCAGGGCGGTAGCCAGTCTGGTATTGTTTACCAGTGAGCGAAGGTCCCCTCACGTGCTCCAGCGAAATATTTCATAATATTCCATTTATTTTAGTGCTTGCAAGTACTAAATAAGCTATCATGGCTCCAAAGAAAGCTCCTAGTGCCAAGCCTGTGGTAAAGAAGGTGAGAAATACGATTGAATTTAAGAAAACCATCATTGAACAATATGAAAGTGGTACAAGTGTGGCCAAACTGTCCAGGATGTATAAGAAACCCTACACAACCTTATGTTCCATAGTGGCCAAGAAAAAGGAAATAAAGGATGCTGTTGTTGCAAAGGGAGTAACTATGCTGACAAAAATGAGATCACCAGTACTGGAAGAGGTTGAGAAGTTATTATTGGTGTGGATAAATGAGAAACAATTAGCAGGAGATACTCTTATGACTTCGATTACTTGTGAAAAGGCTAGGCAGTTGCATGAAGATTTGGTAAAGAAATTGCCTGCAAATAGTGGTGAAGTGAGTGAATTTAAGGCCAGCAAAGGTTGGTTTGAGAGATTTAAGAACCGTACTGGCATACACAGTGTGGTAAGGCATGGTGAGGCTGCCAGTTCGGACCACAAGGCGGCTGAAAAATATGTGCATGAATTCCAGGAGTACATTGAGGCTGAAGGACTGAACCTGAACAAGTGTTCAATTGTGACGAAACAGGCCTCTTTTGGAAGAAAATGCCAAAGAGGACCTTCATTACACAAGAGGAAAAGGCAATGCCAGGACACAAGCCAATGAAAAACAGGCTGACGCTAATGTTCTGTGCTAATGCTAGTGGGGATTTCAAAGTGAAGCCATTACTAGTGTACCATTCTGAAAATCCTAGAGTGTTCAGGAAAAACAATGTTATGAAGAGTAAATTGTGTGTGTTTTGGAAATCTAATAGTAAGACATGGGTCACGAGGGAAATTTTCGTCGAGTGGTTCAATGAAGTGTTTGGCCCTAGTGTGAAGGAGTATCTCCTGGAAAAGAAATTGGATCTCAAGTGCCTGCTAGTAATGGACAATGCACCTGCTCATCCTCCAAACTTGGATGACCTAATTTTCGAGGAGTTTGGGTTCATCACAGTAAAGTTCTTGCCCCCGAATACCACTCCTCTCCTCCAACCCATGGACCAGCAGGTTATTGGGCAAACTTTAAAAAACTCTACACAAAAGCAATGTTTCACAGGTGCTTGACTGTGACCACAGACACTCACATGACCCTAAGGGAATTTTGGAGAAAAACACTTCAGCATCCTCCACTGCATAACCCTTATAGGTATGGCCTGGGAGGGAGTGACTACCAGGACTTTGAACTCTGCCTGGAGAAAATTCTGGCCAGATTGTGTCGACAAGAGGGATTTTGAAGGATTTGGGACTGACCCTAATGAGCCTGTGTCTGTTGTAAAATCAATTGTGGCACTGGGGAGTTCCATGGGGTTGGATGTGAGTTTGGAGGATGTGGAAGAATTGGTGGAAGACCACAATGAAGAGCTCACCACTGAGGAGCTGCAAAAGCTTCAGCAGGAAGAGCAACACATTGCAGCTCAGAATCTTGCTGCAGAGGAGGAGGAAGAGAGATGGAAGAAGGTGCCTTCTTCAGAAATTAAAGAGATTTTTACTATGTGGGGTAAGATGGAAAGCTTTATGGAGAAACATCACCCTAACAAGGTTGTTGCAAGCCAGGTTGGCAACATGTACAGTGACAAAGCCTTAGGCCATTTTAGGGAAGTGTTAAAGAGATGCCAGAAACAGAGCTCTCTCCACAGTTATTTTGCGAGACAGGACTCCAGTGACTCTCAAGGTGGTCCTAGTGGCATTAAGAAACAGAGAAGAGAAGCAACCCCAGAAAAGCAAATGGTACCTGAGGTGTTGATGGAAGGGGATTCCCCTTCCAAACTATAAACAAACCACTCTCTCCTCCTCCTCCAGTCTCCCATACACTAAGAAGAATCTCCAATAAAGGTAAGTGTTATGCTGTTAATGTTTCATTCATCATTTCCCATTGTATTGTTTATGTACTACATGTATATTTCATGTAAAAAATTTTTTTGTTTTAATACTTCTGGGTGTCAGGAACGGATTAATTGTATTTACATTATTTCTTATGGGGAGAATTGATTCGTAAATCGTAAATTTCATTTATAGTAACGGCTCCAGGAACGGATTAATTACGAAAAACGAAGGACCACTGTACAGTGGTCCCTCAATAATCGTCCGGCCTGAAAGTAGCCCATTTCGGAAATAGTCCCATTATTTCGTCAAAACATTGGCTTGCAAATGGTCTGAAACTCGCTAATTGTCCTTCATCCTGGACGCGCACTCATGCTCTGAGCCGCCTCGGCCTCCCTTCCCAGCCAGTGTGCCATTGTTTACCAGTGAGCGACAGTCCCCCCACAATATTTCATAATATTCCATTCATTTTAGTGTTTGCAAGTGCTAAATAAGCTACCATGGCTCCAAAGAAAGCTCCTAGTACCAAGCCTTTGGCAAAGAAGGTGAGAAATATGACTGAATTTAAGAAAAACATCATTGAACAATATGAAAGTGGTGTATGTGTGGGCGAACTGGCCAGGATGTATAACAAATCCCGTACAACCATATCTTCCATCATAGCCAAGAAAAAGGAAATCAAGGAAGCTGTTGTTGCAAAGGGGGTAAATATGCTGACAAAAATGAGATCACCAGTACTCAAAGATGTTGAGAAGTTATTATTGGTGTGGATAAATGAGAAACAATTAGCAGGAGATAGTTTTATGATGTCGCTTATTTGTGAAAAGGCTAGGCAGTTGCATGACGATTTGGTAAAGAAATTGCCTGCAACTAGTGGTGATGTGAGTGAATTTAAGGCCAGCAAAGGCTGGTTTGAAAGATTAAAGAAGCGTACTGGCGTACACAGTGTGATAAGGCAGCTCAGAATCTTGCTGCAGAGGAGGAGGAAGAGAGATGGAAGAAGGTGCCTTCTTCAGAAATTAAGGAGATTTTTGAAATGTGGGGTAAGATGGAAAGATTTATGGAGAAACATCACCCTGAGAAGGATGTTGCAAGCCATGTTGGCAACATGTACGGTGACAGAGTCTTGGCCCATTTTAGGGAGGTTTTAAAGAGACGCCAGAAACAGAGCTCTCTGGACAGTTTTTTGCGAGATAGGACTCCAGTGAGTCTCAAGCTGGTCCTAGTGGCATTAAGGAACAGAGAAGAGAAGTAACCCCAGAAAAGCACTTGGTAGCTGAGGTGCTGATGGAAGGGGATTCCCCTTCCAAACAGTAATTCAATGTCTCTCCTCCTCCAGTTTTCCATACACTAAGAAGAATCGCCAATAAAGGTAATTGTTATGCTGTTAATGTTCCATTCATGATGTCCCATTGTATTGTTTATGTACCATATCTATATTTCATGTAAAAAAAATTTTTTTGTTTTAATACTTCTGGGTGTCAGGAACGAATTAATTAGATTTACATTATTTCTTATGGGGAAAATTGATTCGAAAATCGTCTATTTCGACAATAGTCCCACTTCCAGGAACGGATTAAGGACGATAATTGAGGGACCACTGTATAACAAAAAAAAAAAAAGTAGATCAAAGTTTTTTTACACATTTTCAAATGTAAAAAAACAAAAAGAAGATCTACTTTTTTTTACATACTTTCAAATGTTGAAAAAACGTATATATACATTTGGACCATTTACGGGTTAAGCTGTCCAAACGTAGATCTATGTTCACGTGTGGGGTGGGGGCTCCGAACGTAAATCTACTTTTTTTTACATGCTTTCAAATGGAGAAAATCAAGGTCGGAGCGCGACGCACGTCAATGTAGATCTACGTTTGGAGTTTAAGGATTAATAAGGTGCTAATAAAGATATCTACCTGAATGACTACCAATAAACTCACTCTTAACACTGATAAGACTTTTTACATAATGTTTCTGAACAGAGCTACAAATGTGCTACTAAATGTAAAAGAAAATTCGTAGGTCTGTTTCTTGTCAGCAACTTGAAATTCAACAGGATTATAAATAGCACACACTGTATAAGTTCTTTATAAATGGAAACAAATAATTAATAGAAAACTACACTGTATGACGTAGAAGAGCAAAGAAATTAGAAAATAAGAGGCAACTTTTGATGGTTTGAACATAAGGAAAGAAGGCTGCATGAAGGATGTACAAAACTGAAGTAGATTAAAGACAACCAGCATCATGAGCAGCAAACAAAGACTATACACAAATATTCTGAGGTGACACAGATTTTAAGAGCAATTTAAACTGCACTGGGCCATCCACTCGCAGAGCAGAAAAAGCATTGTATCACACGAAATATTAAGATTATTATTATTATTATTATAATCAAAAAGAAGCGCTAAGTCACAAGGGCTATACAGCGCGAAATATTAAGAGATACGTACAAAGTTACTGCTTTAATAAAACACTTTACCTGAGAGCAAAGCGTGGCCTCTTCATGGAAGTAGCCACGCACGAAATTACAGTACTCCCGCGTTGTAATTCGACACTCTCCATGAATGCCTATACAGCACGGGTGACCAATAACCTCACAAGCCATATGCTCGGCAGTATGGATTTTTTTAACTGCTGCAAGTCTTTTTCGGCAAATTGGCCACCGAGTAATGTCATCTGGCCACTCGTGTGGAGGAACAGACGCAGGCTCTTTGCAGTAACTGAAAATTTAACAACAAAATGTTTTATATACAAAAGACAAATGGTGTAAGTTTCTGTTGTCTGCATTACATAAGCATATCCAAACAAAAGTCCTATGAATAAAAAACTAGTTAAGAATCCTAAAGAATGGATGTAAGCTGTATCAACTGTACAGTGATACCTCGAGTTTCGAACAGCTCCCAACTCGAACAATTATGTAAGTACAGTAGACCCTCGCATACCGTTGGCATCACATAACGTTAAATCCGCATACCGATACATTTTATCACTAAAATTTTGCCTTGCATACCGCTAAAAAACTCGCTCAACGCTATTTGTCCGAGAGGCGTCTAATGTGCGGCCTGAGCCAGCCTCACATGTTCCGCCGGTGGCATTGTTTACAAGCCAGCCTCCGCGGTAACATCTAAGCATACAATCGGAACATTTCGTATTATTACAGTGTTTTTGGTAATTTCATCAGCAAAATAAGTGACTATGGGCCCCAAGAAAGCTTCTAGTGCTAACCCTGTGGTAAAAAGGGTGAGAAATACTATCATATCACAGTCAGCTGCTGCTGCACCACAGTCAGCTGTTGCTGGACCAGTCAGCTGTTGCTGGATCAGTCAGCTGCTGCTACACCATGATCAGCTGTTGCTGGACAAGTCAGCTGTTGCTGGATCAGTCAACTGCTGCTGCACCACGATCAGCTGTTGCTGGACCAGTCAGCTGTTGCTGGATCAGTCAGCTGCTGCTGCACCATGATCAGCTGTTGCTGGACCAGTCAGCTGTTGCTGGATCAGTCAGCTGCTGCTGCACCACGATCAGCTGTTGCTGGACCAGTCAGCTGTTGCTGGATCAGTCAGCCACTGCTGCACCACGATCAGCTGTTGCTGGATCAGTCAGCTGCTGCTGCACCACAATCAGCTGTTGCTGGACCAGTCAGCTGTTGCTGGACCAGTCGGCTGCTGCTGCACCACGATCAGCTGTTGCTGGACCAGTCAGCTGTTGCTGGATCAGTCAGCTGCTGCTGCACCACGATCAGCTGTTGCTGGATCAGTCAGCTGCTGCTGCACCACGATCAGCTGTTGCTGGACCAGTCAGCTGTTGCTGGATCAGTCAGCTGCTGCTGCTGCACAATGATCAGCTGTTGCTGGATCAGTCAGCTGCTGCTGCACCACGATCAGCTGTTGCTGGACCAGTCAGCTGTTGCTGGATCAGTCAGCTGCTGCTGCACCACGATCAGCTGTTGCTGGACCAGTCAGCTGTTGTTGGACCAGTCAGCTGTTGCTGGATCAGTCAGCTGCTGCTGCACCACGATCAGCTGTTGCTGGATCAGTCAGCTGTTGCTGGACCAGTCAGCTGTTGCTGGACCAGTCAGCTGCTGCTGCACCACGATCAGCTGTTGCTGGACCAGTCAACTGTTGCTGGATCAGTCAGCTGCTGCTGCACCACGATCAGTTATTGCTGGACCAGTCAGCTGTTGCTGGATCAGTCAGCTGTTGCTGCACCACGATCAGCTGTTGCTGGACCAGTCAGCTGTTGCTGGACCAGTCAGCTGCTGCTGCACCACAATCAGCTGTTGCTGGACCAGTCAGCTGCTGCTGCACCACGATCAGCTGTTGCTGGACCAGTCAGCTGTTGCTGGATCAGTCAGCTGCTGCTGCACCACGTTCAGCTGTTGCTGGAGCAGTCAGCTGTTGCTGGACCAGTCAGCTGTTGCTGGATCAGTCAGCTGTTGCTGGACCAGTCAGCTGTTGCTGGATCAGTCAGCTGCTGCTGCACCACGGTCAGCTGCTGTTGCACCACCATCAGCTGTTTCTGAACATGACTCATCCCGAACCTGTCCCGAGCCTGTCCGTCCAGCCTGAGCGCCTGCCCTGCCATCATTGTTTACAAGCCAGGGTGGCCGGTTGCATGCATACATTCGATACATTTTGTATTATTCCATTATTTATAGTGCTTGTAACTGCTAAATAAGCCCAAAAAAAGCTTCTAGTGCCAACCCTGTGGTAAAAAGGGTGATAAATACTATCGTACCACAGTCAATTGCTGCTGCACCATGGTCAGCTGTTATTGGACCAGTCAGCTGTTGCTGCACCATGGTCAGCTGTTATTGGACCAGTCAGCTGTTGCTGCACCACAGCTGCTGCTGCACCATGGTCAGCTGTTGCTGCACCACAGCTGCTGCTGCACCATGGTCAGCTGTTGCTGCACCACAGCTGCTGCTGCACCATGGTCAGCTGTTGCTGCACCACAGCTGCTGCTGCACCATGGTCAGCTGTTGCTGCACCACAGCTGTTGCTGCACCACAGCTGTTGCTGCACCACAGCTGCTGCTGCACCATGGTCAGCTGTTGCTGCACCACAGCTGCTACTGCACCATGGTCAGCTGTTGCTGCACACAGCTGCTGCTGCACCACAGCTGCTACTGCACCATGGTCAGCTGTTGCTGCACACAGCTGCTGCTGCACCACAGCTGCTGCTGCACCATGGTCAGCTGTTGCTGCACCACAGTCAGCTGTTGTTGTTGCTGCACCACCATCAACTGTATTACTCGAAGATGTGGAGAGAGTGCTGTTGGTGTGGCTTAACGTGAAACAATTACCGAGAAACGATTAATCCCGGAGGGTTAGCCACCCAGGATAACCCAAGAAAGTCAGTGCATCATCGAGGACTGTATCTTATTTCCATTGGGGTCCTTAATCTTGTCCCCCAGGATGCGACCCACAACAGTTGACTAACACCCAGGTGAACAGGAAAAAATGCCTGGAACTAGTGCTCATATTGGTGAGGTTAGTGGGGAGGATGTGGAAGAGTTGGTGGAGGAGGACAATGAAGAACTAACCACTGATGAGCCGCTAGATCATCTTCAACAGTAAGAGGCCACACCTGAGGAAACTGCTCCAGAGGAGGGGAGAGAGAAATTGAAGAAGTTGCCTACTTCAAAGATTAAGGAAATGTGTGCAATGTGGCTTAAAGTGCAAACCTTTTTTGATGAAAATCACCCTCGCACAGCTATTGCAAGCCGTGCTGGTGACTATTACACTAACAATGTTGTGAAGCATTTTAGGAAAGTCATAAAAGAATGAGAGGTACAGGCCTCCATGGACAGATATGTTGTGCGACAGAGGTCCAGTGACTCTCAAGCTGTTCCTAGTGGCATTAAAAGAAGGGAAGTAACTCCGGAAAAGGACTTGCTACCTCAAGTCCTAATGGAAGGGGATTCCCCTTCTAAACACTAAGACCATCAACACACTCCCCTCCTCCCATCCCATCAATCATCACCAGATCTTCAGTAAAGGTAAGTGTCATGTAACTGTGCATGTCTTCTTCAGTTTGTGTGCATTAAAATTAATATTTCATGTGGTAAAAAAATTTTTTTTTCATACTTTTGGGTGTCTTGCACGGATTAATTTGATTTCCATTATTTCTTATGGGGAAAATTAATTCGCATAACGATAATTTCGCATAACATTGAGCTCTCAGGAACGGATTAATAGCGCTATGCGAGGGTCCACTTTTTTAAGTGCTTTTGTAAGTGTATTTTTCGGAGTCTGAAACGTTAGTTAGTTTAATATGTTTATTATGCACCCCATACCCATCCTGTGGGCGGTAGTCAAAAGATTACAGAGGTACATAATTGGTCCAGGGACTGGACTCCAAAGTTTTGATAGCTGAGCAAGTTATAAAGGTAATGAACTAGATCTGGTCATAATCATGACAAATTCATTCGGTATCGGCACTCGAACAGTCATCTGGAACTAATTAAGTTCGTAACTCGAGGTACCACTGTATCTCTAGATAAAATAAAAATTTAATTTAAGCAAAATATTCATTACAAGTTAGCAACTAGTTATTTCTAAGAAACAATACATGCTGACATATTATTAGAGCAAAATGAATATATAAAACACTGGTGTGTTGGGGTGTGCTTATAGAAGCACATGTATCCAGTGTTCCATTACACTGCAACTTCCCACATGGGTGGGACAAATGTGGATAATACTGAGATGCTTGGAGCATTATCATGATGTCATCAAGGTATTCTTGAGTGCAACAGTGTCTTAATATTGTCTGCTCCAAGTAACTTCTCCCATAGAGTACAACTCAATTTTAACATTCACTTCAAAGCAGATGAACTGCAATAAAAGGGAGGGAGGGCATAAGGGGTTTTGCAACACAAGCAGTTCTGCCACACTTGTGGTGTTTGTAACACCAGCAGTTCTGCCACACTTGTGGTGTTTTTAACACCAGTAGTTCTGCCATACTTGTGGTGTTTGTAACACCAGTAGTTCTGCCACACTTGTGGTGTTTGTAACACCAGCAGTTCTGCCACACTTGTGGTGTTTGTAACACCAGCAGTTCTGCCACACTTGTGGTGTTTGTAACACCAGCAGTTCTGCCACACTTGTGGTGTTTGTAACACCAGCAGTTCTGCCACACTTGTGGTGTTTGTAACACCAGCAGTTCTGCCACACTTGTGGTGTTTTGAACACCAGCAGTTCTGCCACACTTGTGGTGTTTGTAACACCAGTAGTTCTGCCACACTTGTGGTGTTTGTAACACCAGTAGTTCTGCCACACTTGTGGTGTTTGTAACACCAGCAGTTCTCCCACACTTGTGGTGTTTGTAACACCAGTAGTTCTGCCACACTTGTGGTGTTTGTAACACCAGTAGTTCTGCCACACTTGTGGTGTTTGCAACACCAGTAGCTCTGCCATACTTGTGGTGTTTGCAACACCAGCAGTTCTGAAACACTTGTGGTGTTTGCAACACCAGTAGTTCTGCCACACTTGTGGTGTTTGTAACACCAGTAGTTCTGCCACACTTGTGATGTTTGTAACACCAGTAGTTCTGCCACACTTGTGGTGTTTGTAACACCAGCAGTTCTGAAACACTTGTGGTGTTTGTAACACCAGCAGTTCTGGCACACTTGTGTTGTTTGTAACACCAGCAGTTTTGCCACACTTGTGGTGTTTGTAACACCAGCAGTTTTGCCACACTTGTGGTGTTTGCAGCACCAGCAGTTCTGCCACACTTGTGGTGTTTGCAACACCAGTAGTTCTGCCACACTTGTGGTGTCTGCAACACCAGCAGTTCTGCCACACTTGTGGTGTTTGTAACACCAGCAGTTTTGCCACACTTGTGGTGTCTGCAACACCAGCAGTTCTATCACACTTGTGGTGTTTGTAACACCAGCAGTTCTGCCACACTTGTGGTGTCTGCAACACCAGCAGTTCTGTCACACTTGTGGTGTTTGCAACACCAGCAGTTCTATCACACTTGTGGTGTCTGCAACACCAGCAGTTCTGTCACACTTGTGGTGTTTGCAACACCAGCAGTTCTATCACACTTGTGGTGTCTGCAACACCAGCAGTTCTGTCACACTTGTGGTGTTTGTAACACCAGCAGTTTTGCCACACTTGTGGTGTTTGCAACACCAGCAGTTCTATCACACTTGTGGTGTTTGCAACACCAGCAGTTCTATCACACTTGTGGTGTTTGCAACACCAGCAGTTCTGCCACACTTGTGGTGTTTGCAACACCAGCAGTTCTGCCACACTTGTGGTGTCTGGAACACCAGCAGTTTGCCACACTTGTGGTGTTTGCCACACCAGTGGCTCTGCCACACTTGTGGTGTTTACAACACCAGTAGTTCTGCCACACTTGTGGTGTTTGCAACACCAGCAGTTCTGCCACACTTGTGGTGTTTCTAACACCAGCAGTTCTGCCACACTTGTGGTGTTTGCAACACCAGCAGTTCTGCCACACTTGTGGTGTTTGTAACACCAGCAGTTCTGCCACACTTGTGGTGTTTGCAACACTAGCAGTTCTGCCACACTTGTGGTGTCTGCAACACCAGCAGTTCTGCCACACTTGTGGTGTCTGCAACACCAGTAGTTCTGGCACACTTGTGGTGTTTGCAACACCAGCAGTTCTGCTACACTTGTGTTGTTTGCAATACCAGCAGCTCTGACACTTTTAGTGTTTCGACCTTGTTGATGTCAGTTTTGAGGTTCGCAGCGTCATCAATGGATGTTATTCTCACATATGTCCTAGTGTCGTCTGTAAAACATGACAGTGCAATGATTTAAGTAACAGTGCGACCTGGAATGGGGCCTCTCTTTTTTTCTTTAATGAGTACAATAGTACTTCTTTGGATACAATCTGTTAGAAATTAAAGGTCTATTACTAACTTTTCCAGTAATTCCTTATGCACACATTTTGTGTGTTATTACACCATTATCTGCATTTTGTGTCAAAAGACCCTGTTTTAACAGTCCAGAAACTGGTAGAGTACATTATGATAGTATACTATAGTGTACAATAAACAGTTCACTGTAGTTAGTGTACACTATAACAGTATACTCTATCTAGTGTATACTATAACAGTGTATTCTAGCTAGGGTACACTATAAGTGTACTCTAGCTAGTGTACACTATAACAGTGTACTCTAGCTAGTGTATGCTATAAGAAGTGTACTCTAGCTACTGTACACTATAACAGTGTACTCTAGCTAGTGTACACTATCAAGCCTGTATGTATGTACAACATCACATTTTATGCTAAATAAATTTTGTCTTTTATTAATTCCATTTATATATTATACAGATTGTGTTGTTCTAAAATTTATTGTGGTGTCATGAAGTCTATGATAAGTGATTTAAAAACTTTGCTACTGTCACAATAAACTTGGTGTTGAAACGACTTGCATGCTAGTGAAATAAGCCGACCATCACTATCGAGCAAGGTCTAGCTCTTCATGTTGTAACGCTTGATTCAATACAGCCTCTCCTCACTTAACGATGGTGTTCTGTTCCTAAGATCACGTCAGTAAACAAATTCGTTGCTAAGTAAAGAGCATACTATAATGGTAGTGAGTTTGTGTCAACCATCTTTGATATTATTTTAATGTCACCTTTGCATCATTTATAACATTTCTGATATATTTTTAAATGTTTATACAGCAGTGTACTGTATACTGTAATAAACAGAATAGAGGAAATCAGCTCTAATATACATTATTTAGGTGTGCATACTGGTCAGAGAGCCCGTCCGTCATAAGTCCAAGTTGTTGGTAAATGAGTACATCGCTAAGTGGGGAGAGGCTGTACTGTTTGGTATTCTAATGAGTATCTGAAATTGTGTCTGGAAAAGCTGAAATATAACAAACTACTATGATTATGCAGCAAAAATGTGGAGAAACAAGTTTTAAATCATTAAAACCTCTTACCTTGGATCCTGGCCACACACAGATCCAGAAAGGCGGCCATCTGGTCCCTTGGCTAGCTCACTCCACTTTTTCCACACAGATAGTCTGGTCTAAAAGATGAAAGAGAAAAGAAAATCTTGAAAATATATGCTTAGATATCCACTATCACAAAATATTTAGAGTACAGTGGACCCCCGGTTAACGATATTTTTTCTCTCCAGAAGTATGTTCAGGTGCCAGTACTGACCGAATTTGTTCCCATAAGGAATATTGTGAAGTAGATTAGTCCATTTCAGACCCCCAAACATACACGTACAAACGCACTTACATAAATACACTTACATAATTGGTCGCATTCGGAGGTGATCATTATGCGGGGGTCCACTGTATTCTAAAAATACAAAAAAGATTCCTTACTAATATAAGGTATATAAAGTAGCCTTATTGATATTAAGTATCCTTACTGATACAATATTCATATTCATAATTACTTACTTTCTAACAAGATACATTTGTATTACAAAGGTTTCTTATATGAAAAAGTCTATAGTTATATAAAGCATTTCAAGCAGATATAAACTAGGAGTGAAACTTAAATTATACTGCACATTTACTGCATATAAACACAAAACATTTCCAGGGGGAAGTGGAACAGAATTCTTGCTCCATAAGCCGGGGCTAGTAACCCCTTCTCCTATATAAATTACTAAATGCGCTGGATAACAGGTATATCTTGCTACTTCTACTTACACTTTGGTCACACTACACATGCATGTACAAGCATATACAGGTCCACATCCCTTATTCTGAAATTCGAAAAGTTCCGGAAACTCCACAAAGGTTGCAGTAAAGCAATTGCAAAGAACTGCAAACTGATAGTGCTAACATCCCATATTGTAAAAATCTTTGAAAGGGTTCTAAGAAACAAGATCACCAACCACCTAGATATCCATCAATTACACAGCCCAAGGCAACATGGGTTTAGAGCAGGTCGCTCCTGCCTGTCCCAGCTACTGGACCACTATGACAAAATCCTGGATGCTTTAGAGCATAAACAAAATGCAGATGTAGTATACAGACTTTGTGAAAGCCTTCGACCATGGTGTAATAGTGCACAAAATGCATGATAAAGGAATAACAGGAAGAGTTGGTAGATGGATCTATAACTTCCTAACAAATAGAACAAGATGATTAATAGTAAGTAGAGTAAAGTCTGGGGTAGCTACAGTGAAAAGCTCTGTTCTACAAGGCACAGTACTCACTCCCATCCTATTCCTCATCCTCATATCTGACACAGACAAAGATGTAAGCCATAACTCTGTGTCTTCTTTTGTGGATGACATCTGAATTGCCATGACAGTGTCCTCCATCGAAGACACTGCAAGACTCCAAACAAAAAAAACAATATGAAGTTTAATGAATAGAAATTTCAACTACTGAGATATGGAAAACTTGAGGAAATTAAAACTGTATCAGGATATACAACAAATTCTAACCATACAATAGAGCAAAAAAGTAATGTGAAGGACCTGGGAGTGATAATGTCAGAGGATCTTGCCTTCAAAGACCACAACAGTGTATCTACCACATCTGCTAGAAAAATGATAGGATGGATAATGAGAACCTTCAAAACTAGGGATGCCAAGCTCATGATGATTCTCTTCAAATCGCTTGTTCTCTCTAGGTTGGAATACTGCTGTACACTAGCTGCCTCCTTCAAGGCAGGCAAAATTGCTGACCTGGAGAGCATACAGAGAACTTTCACAGCATACTTAAGTATGATAAAGCACCTAAATTACTCTAACGGTTGAAGTCCCTTGATTTGTATTCCCTGGAATGCAGGTGAGAAAGATACATGATAATATACACTTGAAAATTCCTAGAGGGATTAGTACCAAACTTGCACACGAAAATCACTCCCTACGAAAGCAAAAGACTCGGCAGGAGATGTAACATCCCCCCAATGAAAAGCAGGGGCTCCATGAGTACACTGAGTGTCAGAGGCCCAAGACTGTTCAACTGTCTCCCAGCATACATAAGGAAGATTACTAATAGACCCCTGGCTGTCTTGAAGAAGGCACTGGACAGGCACCTAAAGTTAGTACCTGATCAGCCAGGTTGTGGTTCTTACGTCAGTTTATGTGCTGCCCGCAGTAACAGACTGGTTGATCAGACCCTGATGCACCACGAGACCTGGTCTCAGACCGAGCCGCAGGGGTGTTGACTCCCAAAACTCTCTCCAGATATACTCCAGGTATACAGTCACAGTTTTTTTTTCATTATGCACTGCGTGTTACTGGATTCTTTTATATGGTGCACACTTACCGCATAGACCCATTTTCTCGGCTCAGTTTATCTGAGTGAGCTTAGCTCACAGTGTTGTACTACACCTGAATGGGTTATACAGTTCACAATGGTTACTACATCTTTTCTAATCCTATATATTTCTAATACAGTATATAGGAATGAGCTCACAGTGACCTGTCTGATTACCTAAATGTATTATAATTCCTATTAGAAAATTAACAATCTTGGCAAAGACCACATTCAGTTTACTTTAGTTATCTAGAATTCTGTTTGTGAAGAAGAATTTCCAACAGCATTTTTACAATTTTTTTTTTACTTAGTATCTTTACCTAGTTTTTAACTGGTACAGTTATAGCTTCTATAGTGTTAGACAATTCATTATCTGAAATCAGTGTAGATAGGTTACACCTCATCATATTAGCACCCATTTCACACCTGAACTTTATAAATCACTCTTACTTTGTTTCTTTACATGTAGGGTCCTAACTGTGTGACTATCTATTTGCAGCGACAAGAGCAGAGATCATCTGATGGTGTTTTATCTTCACTGAGAAGTCCACTGCGAAGTTTTTAATGGTTGCAGAACATTCCATTTGCTCTACCACTCATTGTTCACATACATAAGTGGTATGGCTTATATTAGTAGCATTACAGCAAACAAAAGCTAAACTACGGTAGTAAGCAGTGTACATTCTATGAACAATATCTAAATTTTTGTTGTCTTTGTGCGTCTAGCAGCCCTGAGCTAATGAGTTTGGCTTCACACACAAACTTCTCCCATACATTAATGTACCAGATGTTAGCTTAATTAAGAGTAATATTTATGACACAATTAAACTTAACTACTGACCAACAAGACAATATTTAAACTCGACTCAAGATTTATAGTCATCCTATTACTTACCTTAACTTGTGGCCTCAAAATAACACACACATGCTGAGTTTTCATGGAGTGTGCAAATGTTAAAACATGTAGTGTCAATATAGTGCCATATTTCTTTTATTTTCTACACACAAAATACATGTTCACATGCTGTATGTCAAAAAGTCACACCTAGTAAAAATATTAATGTCACTAACATGCTTCTTATAGGGACTAAGAAAATGCAATACTAACATATACCAAAAACTCAATATATATAATGTATACAATGAATGGCTCTAACCCATTCATGTTTATTTTAGTACTGAATAGGAAACTATCTGCATTTATAAAATAAAATCTTCTAAAGGGAAAATTTAGTTCTATAAATTAGCATTTTTTACAATCTCTAGTAAAGAGGACAAAAGTTATCTAACTTGACCAAGTCAAAAAAGACACAGATGCCAAGTGAAGACTGAGATCAAGGACCAAAATATATGTTAATAAAACACATTTATAATACCGGCATATTTACTGAGATGATATTTCAGTCGATGGACCTTCTCCAACCCGACAATAGAGATCCCACAACTAAAACCTCCTCAATAAAAATCTAGGTATTAACCATGTTTCTTATTAACAGACAAATGTTACTTTAAAATAAACCATGACTTAAAAATATTAGGAGACTTTAGTCAAATGCAACAGATATAGAAACTTATATTTCCATCATAACCTGTGTGTGACAAACACACACCAAAAATTATTTACAATACCTAGATTTATGCAACCTCAAATGTTTAGAGAAAACATAACTTATTACAACCCTTAACATAAAAAAACAGCAAATTTAAAGAGTTCTGAATAAATTACAAAATAAGTATAAATAAGTAGCTTTGCTAGTCTCAATAAATAATTCTGAACTAATAAGATCGGGTATATGAAAAAATGTAATTCCATTAACCGCAGGTAAAAATTTAAATCAAATACATAACACATACATCATTAAGAGGCAGGTGAAGCAGGATCAAAGTGCATGATCAACAGCAGGAACTATGAGCAGCTGAAATGCTCAATGAAAAAAAAACAAAAATGCTCTTACCGATTCCATATCTCCTTGACCCAGAGGCTTGAGGGAAGTTAGCAAGACAATGGAAGTTAGTTAATTAGTTAGGTAAGAGAGAGATATTAGTAATACACTTCACACAGCTGGTCTAGTGCAAGAGATAAAACATGAAGGTAAAAGATGAAGTGGTACAAGAAACATCAATAACACTAACCAACACTTTTAATTAGCTTTTAAAGTCATATATTTTGACTTTCAACACAAGTGCTGCCAGGAGTGCTTGTTTAGTATCAAAGAACAAAGAGATTCTTAACAATGGAATTTATGGTATCAAATATATTCAAGTGTAATTTATGAACACACATTATAGCCCTAGACACAATATGATTTTTTATAACACACTGCGGCAAGCCGGGGGATTGACCCTGTGTCATTTTAGCCCGCCTCGTGTGAAGCAAGTCCAGTGGTTTAGAGCGTCGTGAATTTTGACTTGCCTCCCATGAGGCTGGCTAAAACAACATGGGGTCGATCCCCCGGCTAGTTGCAGTATGTTATTGCTTAAATACCACTTGTTCGTGGTTGCATTAATATGATTTATTATATATGGATACCCAGATTCATAATGAAAAAAGTGATCTTGATGCCCATCCACCATGTTAGCACAGAAGGATGGTTCAAGACTCATGAAATTGCAATAACATAAATACAAACAAACCACAGTATGGGCACATGAGTCATAAAACTCGCTTGCCATGAGTTCTAACCCCACCTGTACCATGGCTTGGATGGTTCAACATGGCAAAATGCAAAGCAACCTCTTTATCAAGATCAGTATACTGAATTTTGAATATAGGATAGCAGTGTGTGAGAAAGATGCTTGTATAAAAGTGTATGAAGAATAAAAGTAACATTGGTTTAGAAAGACCCATAAGCAAACACTAGGACATATTAAAAAATGTTTCGGCCTTGGGACCTTGATCAAAGTTCCAGGACCAAAATATTTTCTAATAAATATGTCCTAGTGTTTGCTTATGTATCTTTCTAAACTAATTTGTCAGTATCTATTACCAAGGTTTATACCAAAAGTAACATTACCATGGATGGAACATTTCACAAATAACCTATAGATTAAATGGAAATTAAAGCAGATGCTGTTTCAGTTAAGTATGGAGAGAAATGTCATCTAGTTTCATCTGTAATCTGTGGGTTAGTCATGAACCATGTACTGGTAATACAGATTAACTTGTATCCTGGCTGGATGAGGATCAGTTTGGTTTTCCACTGCATGTTACTTACACTGAGTGACAACTCAATAACATTCAATATCAACTATACCCTAGGGATGCAGCTTCCCAACAACTACTGTTGTGTCATTTAAACTGAATCTTACATATTTCCTCTAAAAGCACAACCTATCTCGCAGTTAAATAAGAATGCTGGCACAAGCATCACAGTTTAATTATCTATACAGTGTTCCATTCAATATTACAGCTGACCTGCTACATAAGTTATTATGCATCTTATACTGTAAGCCATTATGTAAAATTCCTAAGACAGTAGATGGACTAACAGTGATTTCCAAACCAACCTGACATCCAAAATACTTCCCACCAAAATGAATTATAGCTTATGTCTATATCATCACTAAGATTTGAGAAGCTTAATGAGAATTCAATATAAAGTTGTACTGTTGACAGTAATGACGGGAGTCAGGTGCAGAGCAAGCTTTGTGAGAACATTTACTTTTATGTAGAGATTTATCCAGTCAAAGTTAATTGATAAAGTTCTACCAATAGTGAAAAACTGACACATTAACAGCTTGATCTGTACCTGGGTTTTTTCTTCACTTAAGGAGTCTAATGTTCCCAGTAGGAACCCCCCACTGGGTTCCCATTGGATTTTTCTAAGTGTTTATTTGATAGTCTGCAATTCTGTATTTATCAGCTTGGTATGAAATACAGTCCAACATAATGAAACTAAAGTTTCCTACTGACTGTCAATGCAAAGAACATAAGAATGAAGGAACACTGCAGCAGGCCCACTGACCCATACTAGGCAGGTCCTTCTCAAACCCAAATCCACTAACAAAATTTTTTGCCCAATCCATTTTCAATGCTACCCAAGGAATAAGCTTTGATAACCCTTTAAACTTATGTGCAAGGCCCACTCAAATCCAACCCCTCTCACTCATGTATTTATCTAACCTATATTTGAAGCTACCCAAAGTTTTAGCTTCAATAACCCTACTAGGCAAACTGTTCCACTCATCACCTACTTTAATTCCAAACCAAAACTTTCCTATATCATTTCTAAATCTAAACTTATCCAAAAACCCCAAAACTGACAACATAAACAAGCTGCTACATATCCTTCCCACTGGGGGAGTGGAACACCAGACTTCCCAGACCCTCCACCACGGAAGTAAATGGTATAAAATACTGATGCAATGGAAAAATAAACACATAAGCAGTATAATGTGATCCTTTATTGACAACGTTTTGCCCACACAGTGGACTTTATCAAGTCACAAACAGATCTGTTTGTGACTTGATAAAGTCCACTGTTTGGGCAAAATGTTGTCAATAAAGGATCACATTATGTATACTACTTATGTGTTTATTTTTCCATTCTCCACTACAGTGGTGTCAACACCATGGCTGTAACCTCAAACAATTCAGCATCTTACCAGATTTAATGACCATAACCATGCCACTCATGGAGGCGTTTATAGAAATCTCTGTGGTGGGTGTGAGAATATACATGCTTAACAAGAACACACTGCTTTCATACAAGTCTTTGCATACAAATACACCTTAAATACACATAACTAAAACAATGCTTGTATAATTTATAGGGAAAAACAGGTGCATCAAATACACTGAACAAAAGCTGAAATGATTATCAGAGGAAAACAGGACAAAAGGCAGTGTTTAGAGGCAGGACATATGTAGACTTCTAATACAAATGAATAGAACCAGGGAGCATTTAGTATCACAAAATTTCTATCCAAACTCATCTTGAAAAATTCTCCAAAACACATTTTGCAGGTGATTAGCAAACTGTCAACATAACCAATCCATCATCAACTACCTGACTATGCCTACCTCCACCTCACCATCTTCAACAATGTTATGCCACATATGCCATGTTTTGTCTTAAGGCCCTTGTGTAGGTAAACTTTTGTTTTTCAATGAAGGCTTGCTCTAAAATAGTCTCCTGTATCTTGAACATTGTCTCTAACATGTTCCACACTGTGAAGTACAGAAGACACTCATATTACACAGTAGTTACATTTCTGAAAATGCCATGTTGGATAAATCCATGTTATATAAACTCAAGAATTTATGGGAAAAATAGGGTTACGTTCCTGGAACCCCCCCACCAAAAGCCAAACAACTTTTTTTTTAGACATCCAGATCATACAAAAATAAAAATGATAGTTGCTTTTGTTGCTTAAGATTACAAATGCAACAGAAATAATAATATTTACCTTAAATTGTGGTTGCTGGATTATGTCAGAGATTGTGAAGAGAGTGGAGATGCCTGGTGTGGCCCTACTGAGCTGAGGTGGATGGTTGTTGGTTGTCAGCAGAAGTGGATGGTTGAGGTTCTGGTACTAAAGTCAATGGTTGTATTGGAGTGTGCATAAATTCTGTAATGAATCTCTGGCTTCTTTTACCCTGCAGTACATTATAAATTATTACAAATGGAGTCAGAGTCCATTGACACTACTTTCTTCATCAATTTCCTTGTGCAGTTACACTTGAATGACTTAATAACTCCCCAATCCAGTGATTAAATTAGAGATGTTGTATTTGGAGGTAAAAATACAGCTTTTACATGTGGGGTCACATCCAGCAAAGCTTGTGGATGAGTACAGGAATTATCAAGAATGAAGAGAGCCTTGAATGCAAGGTTCTTGCTGTCAGGTAAAACTTGACTTCAGGAATAAAGTGATGCTTAAACCAGTCAATAAATATTTCCTCTGTCATTGATGCTGGCTGGTTTGACCCTCAAATTACTGGTAAGGTGTTTTTATCTATACCTTTCAAAGCACGAGGAATCTTAGAGCGGTAAATAACCATGGGCTTACACTTGAAATCACCTGCTGTATTACTGCAAAGGAGCAAAGTGAAGCGATCCTTTGTTGCCTTGAAGCTCGGTGCAGCCCTGCAAAGACAGTGGTCTCACCCACAGCCAGACGGCGGCCTGAGCTAGGGAAATATCCCACAGGCGACGCTCCAAATTTTTTCCCCTCCCGCAAACCGAATCGTGTTAAGTTAATTTTACGAAGTGTTGTACAAAATTATGCCACAATTTCTTAATAGTGTAATAACCAAAATGTGCCAAATAAGTCTGTGTAATATGAGGGTCTACTGTATCTTGAACATTCTCTCTAACGTGTTCCACAGTGTGACGTATCATCGCTACTGTCTCCACTAACATATATATCACAAGCAAATTTTGCCTATTCAACATCATCTGTTCATGCATGGATAAATGGTTTAGAGTAATTCCATCATGAACATAGAGTATTTGTAAGTAAGGCATCAATGATTGCAAACTAAAAATTTCATATTAATTGTATATAACCAGCAATACATATGATACACAAGTACCACTTTTCCAGGCTTTTCAAAGCTGATAAATTACCATGGTAATCATAGTCTCACCATAAATCAGAATTAAGACAGGCATGTACAACCTTTCCTAGACATTTAGCTAACTAAACCTTTTATATCTCCCTGAACTGAGAACTTTATTTTGTGTTAAAGACTGGAAGATATAAAAAGCCTAGTTTGCAAAAGAAATTTTGAGAATTCTTAACTCAAAATCTTTATACAGGTCTGCCACCACAAATCCGGCAATCAGTTATTTGGTTCCTTCAGTTATTCGGCACTAATTTTGGCTAGCATAATTTCAAATTTCCAGGGTCGCCACACCAACCTGCTGGTACTGTTTGGTGGCACTACTTGCTGCATAAGTCATTCCAATTTCTTTTTCTCTATTTATTGTTTTAACCTGCTTACTTTTAACCCTAGCCATGGTTCCAATGAATAAAA